AAGGAAGACATTCTACAGTTCTGGGCACCCTGGATTGTTCTCAGTGAAGACTGCCTTAGTCCTGCCATCCTTGATGTACTGCACAAATATCTCTACGGACACCCTGCAGGGTACAGAGGACTCCTAGAACTTGAACACCTGGAAAGCAAGGTCTTGGTTTTGCTTTGCTTTCAGATTCCTGAGAGAATTAAGGACAGAACCCTCTCAAAACATACCAGAATGATGTTTGACTATTTAAGCTGAAATTGCTTGAGGAACTATCTCTTCCAAAAGATCCATCTGGCCTGTCTTTCCCTACAGGCAGCAAGCCATCAAGATTTTTTGGGGTGTCTGGGGTTGTGGCTCAGTAGTAGAGTGCTCTCCTAACATATGTAAGGCCCTGGGTTGGATCCTTAGTGCCATATAAAAATAAAACAAAGGTATTGTGTCCATGTACAACTAAAAAAATTATATTAAAAAAAATCTTTTGGGAGGGTTGTCTTTCATTACACCAAGGTCTGAAACTAGCCTTGATCATCAGAGACTAGGCTTCAATGAGCCTGAATGAACAAACCCTTTGAAGCTCCTCCTCCTCTTCCATTTGTTTCTATGTCCTCTGACCCCATGTATTTCTTAGTAACATCCCTAGAGTTTACCATACTAGCCCATTTGTCCTGTCATTTCTTCACAAATTTATCGTTCTTTGTTGTCTAAAAAGTATAAAAGCATCATGCTTGTCATTTTCTCCTACTTCACTCTCTTGGGAGGATCCCCATGTATATGTAAATTTAATAAGACCTTCATACTTTTCTCTTGTTATTAAAATGGGTTCCTGGATCCAGCCAAAGAGCTCATATAAGAACTAAGTGTGGAGGAGGGAGGGGTTGGGGCAGGGTCAGAGTGGATCTCTCACTTCCTAATATCCCAAAACCCTCCAGGATTTGATGGCTCCTTTCTTCCCCAGGGTTGTCCTCAGAATAGGGAACAGAGTTATTTCTCAAGACTAGGGGTCTCACCTTTCTTCTCTTCTGACTATTCCCTTCCATAATCTCAAGAATATCTGATGGGAGTCGTTGGAGGCAGAAAGAACTGGTCTGATTAATCATATATTATCTTAAATCTTTAATTTATGTCTAGAACCATAATAGCTGAAAAGTCAGAAGCCAAGCATCTGGCTGCTATTCTCTGCTTTAATGTTCTTTTCCTTATGGTACCCTGTGCTAACAAAATGGGGAATGTGTATATGGGTCGGAAAGGCAGGAAGCTCTAGGCACATGAGGCATGTGGGGTAATACTTCAGAATAATGACTCACTACTTGAATGAGCCTTTTTCTGAAGTTCTGGAAAGAGTGTGTAAAGGGGTGTTAGCACAATGCACCCTGGGAACTACTTAGCAGCTCCCCAGCCTCCAGGAATTTCTCTCTGGTTGTCTCCTCAAACTCTGGTACTTCACAGTTAGTGAGCTTTTTCCTTTATTCATTCTCATTTCTGATCCCCCAAACTGCCCTTTCTGAGATACCTCCTGATTTTCCAAATGCAGCACATTTATTTAGCTTACTTTTTGCATCATCCATTTCTTCCAGACCAAGCTCCGGAGTAAGAGGTATGTGTTGGAGATCCTTTCACATCCAGAGATGCCTTCTAGGAACTTTCCTATAAAAGGAGCTATTACTCACCCAATCCCAACCTGTACAAATGCACGTGAATTAGGCCTCACTTCCAGTATTTTTCCAGTTACCACAGCTCTATTTTTTTTAAATTTCTTCTTCTTTTTACCTAAGTCTAAGAAATTATTTTTATTTTTATTTTTTTGAATTTCCTGTATTTTTGTTTAATAGACGTCATTTAGGATCAAGGGTTTGCTAGTAGTTTCACAAAGTATCACACCCAAGAAAACTGAGGTAACTAAATTTGCATGCAAAGCATCAGGCCTCCCTGCTTCTAAAAATGCATACTTCCTTAACAACTCCTCACCTCCGACTCGGAGAACTGAAACCCAAACTTAAAGCAGGCATACTGCCCAGTTCCCTCAGAGACAGAGAACCTGAATAAAAATGCTTGTTAAAGGGAGAAGGCCCTGGGTTGGATCACCAGCACAGGAGGAGAAAGGATGGAGATGCCGGAGATGCCATATTAAGTGCACTAAGTTTACCATGAATATAAAACATGATTTTTATTTATTTATTTTTAAGATAGGCGTGGAGGTTTGTGGGGTCCTCAGACTGTGAGCAGTACTAGTGTTTATGTTTGTGCTTTCTTTTATTTCCTTAGATTAAGTTTTGCAAAATATACTTAAATATACTCAGTTTGTATTTTTGTCTGCATATGATCTTGTAAAAAATCTAGCAGTGGGCTGGGGCTGTAGCACAGTGGTAGAGCACTTGCCTAGCATGTGTGAGGCACTAGGTTTGATACCACATAAAGATAAATAAAATAAAGGTCTATCAACAACTGAAAAATATATTAAAAAAAAAAGTCAAGCAGTGTTAGAAGAGTTTGGGGAGGTGTGCTTTCACATTTAATGATCAGACTTCAACTCAATCTCCTGTGTCCTCTACTTCACATCCCCTCCACACATTTCATTTGTGCCTCTCCATTTTTTCCAGAGAATATATAGCCCTTTTCTGGGGTGAAAGGTGGGGGTAGGTGGGGACCCAGGAACTGGGGTAATTCCTCCATCTGTAGACTCAAACACTCCTTTTTTTAAAAAAACCCACTGACTCTCCTCACTGACTCTCCTCTGACTTCTGGTCTGCAGTTCTTGGCTTCTGTAGGATTTTTTTTAAACACCTATATTATTTATTTATTTATTTTATGTGGTGCTGAGGATTGAGCCCAATGTGCCTCACATGTGCTAGGCAAGTACTTTTAACACTGAGCTACAACCCAGCCTTCTATAGAATATTTTTTTTTTTTTGAGAGAGAGAGAGAGAGAGAGAGAATTTTTTTTCAATATTTATTTTTTAGTTTTCGGTGGACACAACATCTTTATTTTATTTTTTATGTGGTGCTGAGGATCGAACCCAGCGCCCCGCGCATGCCAGGTGAGCACGCTATCGCTTGAGCCACATCCCCAGCCCCCTCTATAGAATCTTTTACTTTGCCAAATCCCTTACAAATTCTCTGCTGACCTTCTTCATATTTTGGGATTCTGCATCACTATGTTTGGTGTGGCAGCCATCCGAATACACCTCTTAGATCTCCTACTGCAGGTAATGTGACTAACCTAGGGCTTGGTAGTCACGATTGGGCACAGTCCTTAATATGTGCTGCTCTACTGGGGACTTAGGCTTCCTTTGCCTCCTGAGCATGCCTCCTCTTCTGCTGCTCTTTGAGGCCTAGAAATTTATTTTTGGTGACAGCTTTGAGTGTGCACAATTCCAAGGCTGTGCCAAAAAGGAAGGTTGGCACTCTCTCCTATGCATGCAATGAATGCAAGTGGATCTCAAAGTAGAGTTCCTTGGAACCCACTGGGGTTGAATTTAGAAAAACAGATTTTATTTTATTTTTTTTTTTACTCCTAATGCATACTCCAAACATATACAGAGACTTCAACTGAGATTATATTCATTCATACTGAATGAGTGAATGAGCTGGGAATGGACTTTGAGCAGTTCCCTGTACTGGATTAAAGGGAGTTATAGCTCTAACTTGGAGGAGAGGGAAGGGAAGTTATGACTGGCTCTGAACCCTGTCCCTTCTTCAGCCAGCACCCAGCTTTCCAGGGAGAACCATATTCGTGGCTTCCAGGGCCCAGGCAGCCTGATAATCCTCTAGTTAACCCAGTATGTGAGCCTTCTCTGACCAGATATCCTGAGGAATGGGCCTCAACACAAAGCCCTGAGGCACTATTGATCCCTAGGAAACTTTGGTCATCTGACCATAGTGTCCATGCAGAAGTTTCCCTAACTGCCTTTGGGTGTGCAAATTCCAGGCTCCCAAGCTACCAAGCTGAAACTGTGGTTTTTGGGTGCAGTTCATCTTTTTATAATTTTAATTTTTCACTTTATTTTTTAACTATCTTATTGAAGTATATCTTATGTACTATAAAGTTTACAACTATAAACACATGTGTAAGCAGTACCCAGATATTTCAGCATCACAGCAGTTTTCTTTATACTTGTCTTTAATGACATTCTCCAGGGCAACTTGACCCAGAGGTCAGTACATAGATTATTTTGGCCTATATTTGGAACTTCATACATAAGGAATTATACAATCAGTGTTTCATTTTTTTTTGAAAGTAATAGGAAATGGGATAGAGGTTTTCCATTCTCCTTTAGTAAGTAGCAATAAGAGTTAGTGCAAAGTTTGAATCCTTAATTAACTAGTTAATTTAACCATGTTGACCCTTGGTTTCCTCATCTATAAGATGGAGAGAATAATCATCCCTATTTTGGAAAAAGCTCATTAGGATGAGTAATATATATACAGCACCTCATACAGTGTGTTGAATTAATATATTGATCCTTGGTTTACTACTAAACCTTCACCAAAAATGTTCAAATAATAGCTTATTCTGCTTATAGAATGGATTTTTTTTTTTTTTCCTACTGTGAAGTACCTTACACCTTCATGACTTCAATTTAGGCCTAAGGGCTGTGTGTCTAATAAGTTCTGCTAAGATTTCTTACACTTTGCGGAATTAAATGCTGGGGCTGTGGCTTCCTTCCTTTGGATTTTAGCAGCCATAGTTAGATACTGAGGGTGAATGGGATATGAAGAGGCAAATTTCTGGGAAAATGGGCCAGCATGCTTTCTTTTTTAGTACGGTCTCGGTCTCTTCGTTTCAATAGAATAAACATTTATTGAACCAGTGCAAAGTTCAATGCTTGTCATTTCATGTTTAATTCGCACCCTCATTCCTTCTCAGGTTAGGTTCAATCTTTAAGGCACTTCACTTCAGCGGCAACCCCCCAGAACGAGGGGAGGCCCCTTTAAGGCCCTGGAAAGGGTCTAGGTGTCGGTTTCGGCGGGGAGGCCACGCCCCATCACATGTGCAAGTTCCAACGGGGCGGGGCCTGCCTCTCTAGTCTGCCGTCACTTCCGGCTCTCTGTCAGTCGCGAGCCAGCGAGCAGAAGGCTGTCGACTGCAGAAACGGAGCGTGAGTATGCGGGCCCCGCCTCCACCCAGTCGCCGGTACCCCCGTGGCCTTCTGGGCGATGGCCGCAGGAAATTTCGGTTATGCTTGACCTGCCTGTTCCTTCCTTGGTGTTCCCGAATCCCCTCCTCTGTGCCCGACAGGGCGCCTCGCGCACTTGGGCCTTCTGTGCCAGCGCCCGTCTTGGGGAACCGAGGCCAGGCTGCGGACAGGGCGCTCCCGGGCGGCGGGACGCGGTTGGGCGGGGGCGAGGAGCCGCGGCTAGGGGACCGGGCGACCCCGGGACAATGGGGCGACGGCCGGGGCGCGTGCGAGGCCTGCCCCCACCACGGCCTCCCTTGGCCTTCATTCACCCTGGCCGCTAAGGGAGCGGGGCGCTGTGGGGAAGCGTGAGAGCGGACGCGGTGGGGAGGGGGCTGTGGGGGAAGATGGCTGGCTTGCGGGGCGGCGGAACGCAGCGAGAGGAGAAAATGGCGCTTGGTGCAAGTCCCTCCCCTTCCCACATCGTCTCCTCCGCACTTCGCCGCCTCCCACGCCCCCTCCGACCGACCTGCCTCCCCTCGCCCCAGCAGTTTCCAGCCCCTTGGTTCTAGTAGCTTCCTGGCAGCGCGCGACCCCCGTCTCTGTTCTTGGCACCTTTGTACGCAATCCTGTGCCCGTCAGTCCTAGTTTGTCTTAACCACGTTTTCTCTAATCCTCCTCCACGCGGTCAGCAAAGGCTGAAGATTTTTTTGTTTGCGTCTTGTACATAATTCTACAATAGTTTCTTCACTTACCACTTGCCAGAATTATGCGCTCGCCCCATCCTTTGGAACAGTAAAACCTCATTAAGCTTAAGTAACGATATATTTTGTCAAAAGTTTAGAGGCTGGCTTTAGCCACCCTCCCTTGCTTTCTTCTTGAATGGACTTAATTTGAGTTAAATAAGAGGTAGTTCTTTGAAATGGTGTTAGGTCCCAGGCAGCTTTGGCTAATAGACGATAGTTATGGTTGATTGATTGCAAGTGAAAAATAGATTATATTCAATTGCATCTTAGAAAGGTTTTTTTTTTTTTTTTTTTGTGGGGGCAGCTGTATTAGCAAGCATAGAAAACTGAGCTAAATTGATTTTGGAGATTAGGTTGTAAAATGGAGCAGCAACAGGAAAACCATATGAAACTTGGTTATGAAAGATGCTGTTTCCCTCTGAATTTGCTTTTCTCATTTTTAAGAAATTACTTATTAAAATCTGCATGGTCGGGTCGGGCACGATTTGAGCTTTTTTGAATTTCATGGTCAGGATTGAGATGGCCCACTTTTTTTTTTCAACCTTGACCTCCTATTGCGAAACAGTCAATGCCAGTGCCAATGCAAGTTTAATATACAGAGCTAGATTATGAATTTTCAAGTCTTTTCCCCCTATATTCAATATTTACAGAGTGTGTTGTGTTTATTAGGCCCTTTAGGGCATACAAAAATTTAATAAGGACCTAGACTCTTCAGACCTGGAGGGAGCTAAAGGCAATTTGATGATTAGCATTTTAACACTTGGTAGTAAAAGTTCCTTAAAAGAGGTACCCACATGCCTTGGAATTCCAGGAGATTTCAGATTTAGGCAAAAGCCTCTGCTCTCTGCTTTATGCTTAGGCACTAAGTAAACATCCATTTATAAGCAAAGCATTAGATTATCTGTGTAGGGGGTTTTGCCTTTCACAGAAACATATTGTTCAAATTTATTTCCAAGTAGAAAAATGAGGGTAAAGTCGAATTATGGATAACTTTGTGAACTCTGAATTAGTACCTGTTATTCTGATAGTGTTGCCAAAAATTTAAAATTAACATACAGAATAGGTAAAAGATATGATTCTAATGGTAAAATTAATTAGATATCACCTTTGCACAGTACAGCTGATTCCTGTGTTGTGTTAATGTTGAGGTCCATTTTCAGTGATCTCTAGTCTGATATCTAGTGAGAAGTGTACAGTAGTACTAAATAGAATTATCTACATTTCTTCTGGTTTTAACAGTAATTGTAAGCTGCTTTCTTGACTCTACCCTTCCATAAACTTATGATCCTTCTATAATGAAGCATTGAAAAGACCCATTGACTTTGAGCAAGATAAAAGGTGAATTTAGTTCTTTCTCATAACTAGGTTCAGAACATTTCACTTTGCTTGTCATGAATGTAGGTTAACCCTTGTTAATGAACCTTTGTGTTCAATATAGCAACTTTAGTGCCATAAGATGATAGAATGAACCAAGAAACTTGTTCTTTTTTGAAGGTGGTAGAGCTATTTGTAACTTATTTACATAATGCATTTTTTTTCCAGAATGCCTAAATCAAAGGAACTTGTGTCTTCAAGCTCATCGGGAAGTGATTCTGACAGTGAAGTTGAGAAAAAGGTGACTATTACTGCATCAGGTCATTTTTGTGATGCTTGATTTAGCAATATTGCCCACATCTATTTCCAAGAGATAGTAAAAGGCATAACCCAGTACTAACATGAAAATCTGTGAGTTTCTGAAAATGCAGAATGACCTTTGGATCACTTGACTAAAAGTACTTAGTATGCTTTTTTGTACATCCATACCTGCTGACTCGAAGGTACAGATTTAGACCTACATTCTATTTAACAAAATCTTTATTGAGAACCTTTAGAAACCTTAGCATCGAAGAATAATTTCTGTAGACTGACTCTAGGGGAATAGAATTCTAATTAGGCCAAAGATACTACTTGCTGTTATTCAGAAATGTGACTAATCTGTAGATATTATTTGTAGTAGTTGAGCCAAATTAGCTGAATTTTTAAATGCCAGCATTCTCAGTCATCTGTGTTTATTTGCCCACAAGTATTCCTGAATTTTGGGCTTGCTACATTTTAAGTTTGAATATTATTTGCTCTGATTCCTTCCTTTTAGTTTAATTATCTTCCAGCAAAGCTGATGTGGTGAACTAACCCATTTTCACAGAATGGGCTTTTTCTGCATTAGATGACAACTGCTCTGTAAACTCTGCATTCCACTTAACTGAGCGTCTCAATGGAGCATAACGGAGCATCTCACTTGCTGCGGTCAAGACTTCCTTCCACACAGACCTATTCTTATAGAAGTTTACATATATGAATAATCATTCATATCCTAGAAATGGAATTAGTTGATGGCTTTCTTCCTAATTACTATATTTCCTTTGTGAAAATAAGTAATTAGCTTTTGTAGATCTGTGGTTTCCAAGATTTTATGCTTTATTTAGCAGCGGGCCCCTCATGCCCCGTTCCCCAAGCAGTACTAGCTAAGAGAAAAGGGAGAGCTTATGGGAGAATCTTAGAGAAGTTGGATCCTTGAAGTGTAAGTACAGAATATAACATCACCTCAATTTTAGTGTAAGGATTCAAAGAGATAATTGTGAATTGAGTGAATTTCTTAATTAAAAAAATTTATATCAGTATAGCATTTGAGTATGTTCATATAACAAATTTGTATTGAACTTTGCTGTACCAGGCATACATTATTCAACAGAATAATTAGATCTTGATTTAAAGAATAATTTATTTTATTTTTGCCATTTGTCTCAAATCCAAATAGTAGTATTAACCTTGTGGACATTTATATTAAATACATCATGTTTTTTTTTTTAATTTCATAAACACCTATATGTGAATAGTATTACCTAGCTTCAACTAATTTAGTACATTAATTTAGCAACTTAAAATATTAGTTTACACTTCACCACTAAGAAGGAACATGACTGCCCTCTACTGTTTGAGCTGGGAAACTAGTGGTTTATTAGTGATTAGCTTTTTTGGGGGGGGTAGGGTGGGAATGGGGTCTTACCCTGTTGCCCAGGTTGGTTCCAAACTCTTGGGCTTAAGTGATCCTTTTGTCTCAGCTTCCCAAGAAGCTGGAACTACAGGCGTGCACCACTACATCCAGCTTGTTAACTTATTTTGAGAATAAGGCTATGTAAAAAGCTTTTATAATAATTTAAGCAGATTTTGAATTCTAGTCTTAACACGTTACTATCTTCAGGGGCTTTTTTTTTTTTTTTTAAGTTGTAAAGAGAAAGTTCTTGATTCGTTCATGTTCAGTACCTGGTACAAAATAATATATTTTTTTCCAGGAATTGAACCCAGAGGCACTTAACACTCCCCAACCCTTTTTATTGATTCTTTTTTGAGATGGGGGTCTCACTAAGTTGCTTAGGGCTTTGCTTAATTGCTCAGGCTGGCTTTGAACTTGTGATCCTCCTCCTTCAGCCTCCTGAGCTGCTAGTATTACAGGCATGTGCCATTGCACCCAGCCAAATAATGCTTTGCTTTGCCTAACTGTATGTTCCTTAAACCAGTTTAAATCTCCTTTGGAATAGGCAGGGCATAAGTAAATGTTTCCCAGAAATGGAGTAAATTGGCAGTATTCTTAATAAGTATACCTCCTTTGTTTAAAAAAAAAAAAAAAGTAATTGTTGAGCTTTGGTAGATCTTTGGTTTTCAGAAGTTTTATGCAAAAGCAGTGGGTTTCCATTTTTTTTCCCCCTGTCATCTTCCAATGAATTCTTTTCGTATGATCCCACTCTACAAAATACCTGTCCTCTGGCTAAAACCCAATGCCTGAAGTATCTTCTGTGATTGTGAAAAGAGGGTTTGAAAACATTATTAGATAAACATGTAGGTTAAATTCATAGTTCTATTGTTGAGTGAAACTTTGGTTTTTTCTTACACAACGAATGTGGTCTTCTGAATCTCTAAAAGTAACATAATTTTTTTAACTTGAGGTTTTTTTTTTTTTTAAATAAGAATACAGCAAATTTTATCATGTTCTTTTTCTTTCAAGTTAAAGAGGAAAAAGCAAGTTGCTCCAGAAAAACCTGTAAAGAAGCAAAAGACTGGTGAAACTTCGAGAGCTCTGTCATCTTCCAAACAGAGCAGCAGCAGCAGAGATGATAATATGTTTCAGGTAAAGTTGGTCATTTCCTTAGAGGATTATTGTCTCACTTGATTAGAAGAATGTTAAAACTATCTTGATCTATGTTGCAGAAAGTCTTTTTGTGTGTGATAATCCTCTTGAATAAGACTATTAAGATGAGAGAACAAGTGAGAAATGAAAGAAATTTATATGATGCTGGGTTGTTGTTAAAGTCTAGAATAGTCTGTAGTTTTGCTGTATTTAAAACAATGCAAATTCAAATGGTATAGAAATCCCCCCAAAGAGACTGAGAACTTTACATTTAAGGAAGAAACTTGGAAGAGGTAGGTTAAGTACTGGACTGTGAAGTATGGATTAAGATACTATTTTAGGAGAAACAGCAATATGACATGTCTAACAGTAAAGGAGAGTGGCTTGAATAGGTAAAGTCAGGGAAGATTATTAAGGATTTGATGAAATCACCTGCAGAGGACTAGCATAGCTTCTTTTCTTGGGTTTCTTATGTTTTTAAGGAGACTTGAAATTGGCCTTAGTATATAATTTATGAGGGAAGAGGCATTAGTGATAAATGGTTACTGGTAAGATTGCTGAGATAGTTGTAGACTTTAATCTGTATGTAGTAAGGGTAAGGTGGTTTTTCTCCTAAGGGAGAAATAGTGATGATGACAAAGATACTGATGAGGAACAGGGGACTAGAGAACCATCATCAAGGAGTTGGACCTGATTGTAAATATAACAAAATAAGTAGAACCTCCTGGAAGTCTTGGGCGGGCCATCAGCATGGTTGACTAAAGCCATCCACTGAAAGAAAAGAAAGCTTAAATCAGAGAAAAGAGAAGTTGATAAGATTATGTCTTTGTTGATATTCAAGTAGAAGATGGAAGAAGAAAGAGAATGTAGGTCAAGAGGAGATGGTGAAAGAAAATTAAGAACAAAAAAAGGATAAGTGTTTCAAGGAGGCATAGGTATTAATTGAAGTCAAAAGTTGGACAGAATATGACTCTACATATTTATTTGATTAGAAAATTAGATTGGTCTGTACTTTTGACCTGCTGATGGCTTTGAAAGATGTAGTGCTAGGATAAACGTATAGTGAAATATAGAAGTTAAATATTTTTTTTTCATTTTTGCTTTGAAATACTTTGTAATAATGTGGAGAAAGAAAAGAGACAAAATGCAGATGAATTGTTTAGTTATAGATTTGAATCCTTTGGTGAATGTGTAACATAGAGGAACAAAGGGCAGAGTAGGTTATTTTGATAAGAGAATGTGAGTAAATGTGAGGAAGAATTATGTGAGAGCCCTCATTGCTTTGAATAGAAAATAAATTGAATGGTTACTGTGTTTTCTGTTTTATTCAGGCCTTGCCAGGTTCTGGATTGCAGTGGTGAACAAAGTAGATGTGGTCTGTACCTTCCTAGAATTTATGGGAACAGAAATTATACAGATAAACACATGTGTAGTTAAAATTTTGATAAGGGCAGAGAACTAAAGGAGCAGATTCTATTATGAGAGAGTAGGTGTTCTGGATATTTTATTCTAAGGAAGTGATATGTAATCCTTAAGAAATGGAGGAGGAGCTAACCTTGCAAATTGGAAGCAGGAAGCATTTTCCAAGTGAGGGGAATTACGTGAATAACTTAAAGTGGGAAAGATCTTAGATTTTGCAGGAATTACAAAACCTTTGTGATTTGAGCCTGAAAGTCTGGCTAAAAGTATAGGTTGGAGATTGAATTCCTGAGAAGGCTGAATAATTCACTTCTGTGGAAAAGGAAGGACTGCTTTGGAATATTTTAATATTTTAAAATATTTGCTAGGCAAGTTTCTTGGGCTTTTCTCTCACTCACATTATGCCTACTTTTGCTTGTATAATAATGAAGCATCTTTGACATTTGAGGGGGTTTTAGTCTTGCCCACACCATCTCTAATTTTATAAAGAAGCCAGGACCCACATTTTAGAGATTCTATTTTGTTAGAGTACTTTTGTGAAAAACAGATCTATTTTTAGGGGGTGGTTTTTCTCCCCCTAAAAAACAGTTCAGTTCTTTTGTGTGGTACTGGGGATTGAACCCAGGGGAGCTCTGTTAATTTCCCAGCCCTTAAAAATTTTTTTTTGAGCTGGGCATGGTGGCACAGGCCTGTAATCTCAGCAGCATGGGAGGCTGAGGCAGGGGGATATTGAGTTCAGAGCCAGCCTCAGCAGCTTAGGGAGGCATTAAGCAACTGTTTCTAAATTTAAAAAAATACAAAAAAGGGCTGGGGATGTACCTCAGTGGTTGAGTGCCCCTGAGTTCAATCCCCGGTTTAAAAAAAAAAAAAAATTATTTATTTATTTATTTTTTAAAGATAGGGTCTTGTTAAGTTGCCCAAATTGGCCTCAACCTTGTAATCTTCCTACCCCAGCTTCCTTCAATTTTCAAATCCTCATTTGTAAAGGTTCCTAGGCATCCTAAGTCCATTAAATACT